CCTGATTTTTGCCTCTCAGGTCACAGAGAGGTGAAGGTTGAAGACGCTGACGCCGCCTGAGAATTAATTAACAGCTTATTAAAATTAGATCTTACTTTTTATCTGTATATTTATCAGTAAACTACAGTTCATGGAAAAATACAAGAACCACTTGTATCCTACAGTTGGTTTTTGAAAAATGAACAAAACAATTTGGTATTTTCTGTCACACTGAAGTTTGTTTGAAGTTTTTTGGTGACATCACTGTCACCTGTGTTCTTGAGAGTAATCTGTGTAGAGTCTGCACGGTTTTCTTCTTCACGGCGGATATCAACTGTCAGCGAGTTCGGACTCTCAACCATAAAAATGGATAACAAGGTCTGACCGTGTTTTATGAGCGCAAACCATAAAAGGTGCTTTAGAAATGAATCCTGCAGCAAAGTAGATATTTTCCAGCGACTGTTGGAATTTTTCATCTTGTTCCAAACACGTTCTCCGAAGTATAAAATATACGGCTGAATACGAATCGCCCGTTCCTCCGACGGGACGGGGGGATCCATCAGAGAGCGTGCGGTGAAAACAGCTGCCTCCTGCTGCTGCGGCTGGAAAAATGTTAATGTGAGAACACTGGAGACCCGAGTGCACAGCGAATGTGTCGTAAAGCAAAAGCTGAGAGTTGTTAGTAATTCTGTGTTTCTAGAAATATATTTCAAATATGTGGATCAATACTGACGACAGCGTTGGATATTAGTGCCACAATGAAGGCGTGGTAAACAAAGCTGCGGACACGTTCCCCGTCACTGTTGAAGCTCGGTGAGATTCTGGCTCCGTTATTCAGGGCAGCTGTCGGGGGAACTGTGAACAGGCCGCTTCAGAAATTTAAACCCCTTCACTTGTTCAGCTGTTTTTTTCCGAAACTCTCTCTGCTCGCTCACCATCTGAAATCAGTGCTGACCAAAGCCTCAAGTCGGCTCATCACTGATTGTATTTTGATTTTTGTGACAGTCCCAGCTATCGGGGGTTTATTGGTAAACTAAGGTCCAGATTCACCTGACGCCAGATAACCGCTACGACGATCTTTGAACACTGAGCTTCTCGCCCGTCGGAGAAACGTTCCGCTAACGAGACGCTGACGAAGATGCAGTTCAGACAGTTTGTGTCTTAAAGATATAATCATTATTTTATTGTGTTGTTCAATATCTCCAGTATCCTGCACTAGACTCAAGCTAGTATTGTAATTATTCTAAATTCACAAGAAAAACTCACAGAATCAAGAAGAATCAACAGCTTCATGTGGAAACTCTATCTTCTGGATTTTAAATGTTTTGTCAGAAGTAATACGTGCTTAAATGTTATAAGGAGAAAACGTTTATTTACTGAAAAAGCTTCTTTACATTTATGATATACGGTAATTTATATATTTCTGTCTGAGTATTGAGTAATTTAGACGTGTATTGTTGCAATAGAGATTTTCATATTAAAACAATTCAGTCCAAGTAAAACCTGGTGAAGAGGTCAAAGGTCAAAGCCTGAAGAACACGTCTGTGAACTCTTTCAAAGATCACTCTCCAGCTTCTCTTTAAATAGAGAGTAAGTCAACACGCAGGAACTTAAGATAATATCTGTGACTTTGACACCACAGGGACTTTTCCTGTTCGTCAGGATTTTGAACACCGTCAGCCGGTGGGTCTTTGTTGGACGGTATTTAAAGAAATATAAATCTCAATATGTAATGTGATATTATCCAAACATTAATGTCCAAATCCCATCAAGTCCCATTGAAGACTCAAAGTGTCTCACTGTGGTTTGTCTCTTTGTTTGCCGGGTTACGCAGAAACTACAGAGGCAGTTTCATGGAGCCTTGTTGGACAGATGCAGAGCAGGACAACAAACTACCATTAACGTTTGGAGCCGGTTGGATTGAGCAGGTGCCTTTAGGAATTCATCTTTTAACTCAACTAATAAGGTCTTTAGAGATTTCAAGATTCAAGTCTTGCAAGAATATTACAAGAATAAAGAATAAAGCCAGAAGAAGAGGAGAGAGTCACAGAGAGTAAATCTGTAATTTAACGTTAAAAAGTTTTCACATTACGAGGATATTATTGTAATTGAGAAGAAAAACATGAGTTAAATTGTGATTTTTTTAAGATAAAGTTATAATATTACAATATAAAGATGCTATTTGTCGAGTTCATGATACTATAAAAATGTAATTGTAATTTATTTTTTTAAAAAGTCATAATTTTACCAGAATAAAGTTTTAATTTAACAAGAAAATATGTGAAAATATTTTGAGAATAAATATAAATTTTAGAAAAATCAGCAGCAGGGAGTTGTGTTCGCTGGAGTTTCACTCCTGGATCCAAAATCTTGAACCAATCTGATTTCTAGAGAAACTACGAACCCTCTTTGAACAGGATCCAGATGTGACCAGCGACAACCTCACAGTCGAACCAACAAACCAAAGCGACACTTTCCTCCAAGTCTCTGTTTCTCTCAGTTTGTGACTAAATCTTTAAACGAGGAGCTGACGTGACACAAGATCAAATATTTTATTTGTGAATTTAAAAAAGAAAAAATCATAATATTTTAAAGCAGGTGACAAATTGATCTTCTGATATTTTCCCTCGAAGATAAAATAAAAACAACATTATTACTTCAATTTCACAGTATTATGACTTTTTTAAATAATGTTACAACTTTATTCTTGTGTTATTACGAATTAAAACAAATGAAAAGGAAATGAAATGAACTATGTCCAGTTCAGATTAATTAATCATTAATTCATTAATCAGGCCATGAAAACACAGAACGTGTTCATCTGATTAGTTAATTGTTGTTTTTGTTAATTGCTTTTTAATTGCTTTTCTCACTTTTCTATATACAGTTAGTGTTTTAACATAATCCCAATTTATTTTAGCGTGAGCTCCACTGAACACTGTCTGAGGTTCCTCTGTAAAAACCAGAGAAAGGTTACAGACGCTCGACATCAGCGACCGAGGCCGAATTAAAACTCTGAAAATCACCACTTCGCTCATCAGAGTCCTGACATTAAAGACTCTCTGCAGCGGAGTGAGTGAACGTCTCACATCTGGACGTAATCTGTGAAAGGTCAGTGAAAGATCGTAATGAATTCTCAGGGCGCCGCGATCCCCTGGAGGCTCCTCGTTAAGATGCCAACGTGGAAACCGGAGCTTCGGATGCACGTTTGTGTATCAGAATCCGATCGTGGGCGTCCGGACGACCACGACGAGCCTCCGGATGATGCAGCGTGTGAGCCAGCGACCTCAATCAGCCATCAATGCTGATTTGAAGTCGCAGCGTTTCCCCAGAACTCGAGACGTTGAACATTATCGCTTTAATCCCTCGTCACTGTGTGAAGCGAGCAACGAATCAACGAAACAGCGACTGAGTGTGAAGTGTCCGGGTCACTGTTGATTTCTTTCTTTCCTACCTGTGGAGATCAAGAGATGAGAACTAATGGAGGATGTGTATCTGTGAAGTCCCGGCGCTCTCACGTGTTTCTGTTTACGTCGACGTCCGTCTACTCTCACTCACGATTTGATGTGATTAACAAGATGGCAGCCTCCGTGCTCTCATTAACACATTAGACCCACATCATTCTCAGCACCGTGATAATGAAGAGCAGCTCCCACTGGAATTAAACTGGATCAATAAAACTTTACTGGTTATGCGGCACATAATCTTTTATTGACTCTTAAATTGACTTTCTGTTCAATTTTCACCCCGACTGCAGTTTTATAGTTTTGTTCGTTAATTGTTTTAAAAGATTATAAAGATAATTGTGGAATTATAAAATACTTATTTAGACGTAGATGTGCAGACCAGCAGTGAGAAGTTTTATAATAACTCACTTTTTTCTTAATAAAACAAATATAAAAGTTTATTTTAAAAAAAAATGGTTCTGGAATCTGAAGACTTAAATTCAATCTTACATTTTGAGTCAAGCAGCTGAATAAAACCCAAAAGATCATCGTTCCACAAATGTGTCGCACATGTGGGTTAACATGACTCTGGCCCTACGTCCACTACAACACGCTTACAACCACTCTTCTTCACGTGTTCATCTCGACATGTTGCGACAGCTCAGTTGTTGAAATGCACATTTCACTAGACTCTGAAATCCAAGCACAGAGAAAATAAAGATTGGAGTTGAGGAAAAACTAATTGACTCAAAAGACTCGAGTTCAGACGTAAAAAAAAAAAACTTGAGTCAAGCTGCAGCTGAGCTCACTTGAAACTCAACATTATCTGTTGCACAAGTTCCACAAACATGTTGAACGCCTGCGAGTCGCTTTGCTTTTCACACACACACACACGCGAATAAAACATCTAATCTCTAAAAAACCCAAAACAACCTGTTGTTTCTGCCCAAACACACTTTTCCTCTTCTCCGTTATTTATCCATTTTGACGCGTATCTCTCCTCCGACAGCGTCCAGAAACCACAAGAACACATTTTCCTGATATCATCACTGCACATGTTGCTGTAAACCTGTGTCAAGATGTGAGGACATGTGTTTACTCCCGACTGGCATTTACAGCAGCTCTCATATAAGCGGTTGCGGTGCTGACTCTTTATTACCTGCTGGCTGTTTTTCTCTGTGACTGAACGCCAACGAGTCAAAACAGTCTGAAGTCATTTTATGGAAATGACCCAAACACTGAACAGACACTGCAGCAGTTCAGCCTCACACTGATTAATTTGTCTTTTTTATCACCCGGGGCCAGATTTTTTATCTCACTGTGTATTAGCACTTCCCAGGCCACAGCTGGAGAGGAATCCTCTGAACGCAGCTGGAAGATGAAAAGTCTTGTTTTTTAACAAACTCACAAAGGATGTTTTTCTCTCTCTCTCTCTCTCTCTCTCTCTCTCTCTGACGCCCAGGATTAAAGCATGAGGACCTCAGTTAGTAGAAGATTTTTTTCTTTGTCCATGTTTCCTCCGTCAAACGATTTCCTGGGATTGTTTGAACGAGACAATATCAGAAAGTGTCTTACCTGTGGTTCCAGCTGTGCCTCAGTCCGTGGTTGCTCCTGTTTCTACACTGTGACGCTGTCCTTTGTCCCTTTCTGTCTTTCTGTCTTTGCTGCAGAGTCTTTATTTCCCTGCCTCTTTGGTCCACAAGTCACCACTCTCCTCTCCTCCCTTCACCTCTGATCTTGTCTTTTATTTTCCTCTTCTTCTCTTCCCCCCCCCCCTCTCACTGTCCTGCCTCAGTTTCCCTCCCTCTGCTTCAGTTAGTCCTCTTTCTCCGAACCCCCTTTTTTTTTTATCCCCCTCTCCTCCGTTTCCTCTTGTATCTGTGCCTGAGTAGAGGTACCTTGCCCGGCTGCTGATAATGAAGACATACTGCGAGCTTTGCTCTGGAGGCGGGACCAGTGCTGCAGAGGGTCGGGGGGATGGGAAAGGTCAGATTGTGCAGAGGATGGACAGATAACGGTGTTACATCAGAAAACCCTGCTTCTCTTTTATTCTCACCTGCTTGTGTGCGACGTGCAGTTCATCTGTGATCCTGAACTCTCGTGTCACTCGTATTTTTGTTTTATTTAAAAGACATGTGCACGTGTCGCGGACGCGGTGGCAGCTGCTCGTGGACGACGATTACAATAGAGACAAACATATAATGACACAAGAGAAGGAAACGCTCCGCACACACAGATGATCAAACATTTAAAAAACGACAAACATTATAAATACAACAAATACTAAATACTTTAAACATTCACACAACTTTCCATCCTGTTAGAAACTGTTTCTTCTACAACAACACTAGGGGCCCCTGCTGTCGGGGCCCCTTCACTGTTTTTATCACTTCTCAAAACTTACTTTTATGGCTTTTACTTTTTCTCATGTTTCTTTTTTTTTGGTGCTTTTCTTTTGCCATAACTTTTAAATGAAGTTAAATTCTATAATTTGCTGTCTTTGATTTTAAATGACGTTGTATTGATTCGCTTCTTCTCATTGTGAGGAGCTTCGGAACAGCTGCTGTATAAATAAAGTTACTATGATTGTAGGACATTGTTTTTATATTTGTGGATTATTATTACTTGTATTATTATTACTGTATATTTGTTGGAAGCCCTTGAGAAGGAGATGTTGCTCTCGGTGACTCTTCCTTTTACGAATGAAGGTTTGAATGAATTATAAAACCACATGTCAATTATCCAGAGTTTTATTTACATCTGCGCCGAACTGCTCGGAAAATATCAGTCCCTCAAATCAAAAATCCACGAATCAGCGAAAATGTTGAAAAATACAAATAAATGACGGAATCTGCACCAAAATGTAATGAGATGAAAATATAACCTCCTTGGTGGAGGTAATAATAATAATAATGCTAACATGCTACCATGTACAATGGAAGTTAATGAGTGCCCATGCTAACATTTGCTAATTGGCAATAAACACTAATAATATTAAAAATATTAATATTAAATAATAATTAAACTAATAAAAGATAAATCGGGGCACCGCCCTTCAAAGGAAGGGAAAAGAAAACCAATTTATTGAATAAGTCTCAGGAACTTACTGACTACAAATTTGGAACTGTGATTAATAATTAAATAAATAACTATAACCAAAGTTTCCACATCAATAGTTAGCAAAGTTGAAGGATATGGAGTTCTTGACAGTGTAGAGGTTGGCAACATTCACACTTACGCAACATTAACTAAGACGTGTTTTGAAGAAAAACATTTATTATGAGAATAATAAAAGTATTAACACAAAACTAACAAAAGGTGGACTAACTATATACAGATGTGTGTCTGTGTGTGTGTGTGTGTGTGTGAGTGACTGAGATTCAAAATGGCGGCTGGCCACTATGAAGACAAAAAGCCTCCTGGAGTGGTGAGACCATGTGGCTGAGATCACATGTAGGTGTTTAAGTTTGTGGAGATGAGTGTGTGAGGTGCCAGGTTAAAGAAAGTAGTTAGATGCCTGCAGAGAAAGTGAACAGAACTAACATTAACTTTCAAATAACATATCAACAAATATCACAGCAACACAAGTCAAACTTGTAAACATCACATGGAATAGAAATAGGATTAAACAGTCCTTTGCGTAGCCTAGCGTAATAATAAAGCCCAGTTGTGTTAGCCGTCCATGAAGAAGAGGGAAAGGTCCTTTTTGGATGTGCTGTTCGAAGTCCAGTGAAGTGGTCTTGTTAAATTGTGGATCCTGTTGTGCATCTGCTGGGCGGACCTTGTGTCGTGGCCAGTTGTGCTGAAGTTCTTAGGCAGGCTCTCAAGGTTTTTTTAGTGGTCTGCTCCAGGCAGGCCTGCTGGAAGTTGAGGAGCTTGTGGATGGAGGAAGTCTCCCTGGCTGGGAGAGAAGGAGCAGAACCTACTCCTCCAGGAGAGGTCGGCAGGGGAAGAGGCCGAAGAGAGAAGAGCTAGGAGAGTAGAGGGGAAACTCGTTTTATATCGGCCTGGTGATCTCATGGGTCATGGGGCACACAGTGACCCATAGTGGTTCTGGAGTTCTGGAAGCTGTCCTTTGTCTCCAGAGCAAAGGAGACATGTGGTCAGGCTTCTGACCCAACTATGGTTCACAGATACCAGGTCCCAACACTTATCATTTTTACTTCACGTATATTTTATTCTCGCTCAAACTCAATAACAGTCTAATTTCTGTCTTTCTGAAAAAAAAACACTTGGCCTCTTCACAAACAGGAATCTTCATAAAAAAGAACGAGTCTCACGGCTGTTTAAACAAAACCAGGTCGTTCCTGTTCTGTCTCCACTTAATCCACCTCACACGTTTAACACTTCAACAAATTAAACATTGCTCAGGATCGACAGTGAGTCTCAGAACATTGTGTCTTAAGTGCATCCAGCAGGAGGACGTGTTTTACACTTTCTGCAGAAAGGCTACAGGCTCCATCACCTGCTGAAGGCAAGACGCTCTGCATGAGCCCGCATTTCTTTCTGCTGAATCATCCGTTCTTATGATCGTGGTTTTGTTTTGATCGTAGTTATTTAAATATAGAGGTTACAGACCGAGGGGCACTCGCTCTGGCTCCCCAAGAGGCGGTTCTCGAACAGTATAGTGGACACAAGGAAACGTAAATGAAACCCTCAGTACGAATCGTGAAAATACACGAAGACTGATTAGAAAAGGTTTTGTGCTCCGTCTGATATCTGGACCATGTTGCCATGGAGGAAGTCCCTGCAGAGATTTTAGACTTAGACCTAATTTAGTTTACAGAAACTAAAAGCAGCACAAATGAACAATGAGTTGTGGAGGTCAGCCGTGTTAACGAAAGCAATGCATGCATGACGCCCATGTCAAGTCAGATTCATTGACTGTGGTTGAGAGTTGAGCCAAAGTGCTTCACAGTCATAACAAAGTAAAAACTGTGCGAGAGAAAAACACAGTCAACGACACAGAAAAAGAAAAAAAAGAAGTAAATAAAACAAACTCAATAGAGCTCGTAGCTCCACCAAGGACGACATTTGAATTCTCCAGATGTGAATTGCACACACTCTAAACTCTCATTTTAATGTGCCTCGTTAACATCCACGAGTTCTTCTCTGACAAAAATCATAAAAATGTTGGAAAAAAAATGCCTGAACTCACATTTTTAAAGAAAATAAAAATAAAAAAATCCTGGATCTTTACCAAATTCTCCCTGATCCAAACCACATCCTTCCACCAGGACTCCAGGAAATTGTTTTTGCACAATCCTGCAAACTAACAAACTCACAAATGCAGATGAAAACACAACTTTCTTGGATGGAACTTTGTAATAACGACTGAATTAAAGCAAGATTAAAAATGTAGGATTGAACGGCACCTGAATTCAATCGAGCTGCACTAGATTTGTTAAATATCAGTCCTTTCAATCTGCCTTTTTTAAATCCAGCTTAGTTCATTATTCTCTGGGAGAAATTCCTGGAGCTGCACCAACATGAGGAGGTTCGTGTCCCATCCTTTCACCAGGAGTCTTCTGATCAGACACAAGGACGGGGACGAAGACATTCCCTCCCGGATGGAGGTAATTATCCATAATGGGACCAGATCCCAGAGGCAGTTAAAGAGGCTCCTGTGTGGTTTGAAGAAGAGACGGAGGGATTGTTTATGGGATCAGGAGGTCAGTGAGGTGCTGGAACGTTTAGAAGTCGATTCTGTTTTTAACTGGAAGTCAGATTTTCCAGAAAAGGTGAAATGTTGCCTGTTTTCGGTCCCAGTTAGAAGTCTAGTATCCACACTTTGGATCATTTGTGATGAGGAGGAGATACAAAATGATTCCGCGTGCATGTGTGTGCAGGAGCAGATATTGCATGAGGTGGATAACAGCAGCCAGAAGAGAGCGGGTTTGGAGACTCGGAGGTCGAGAAGAAGCACATCGTTGACAGTCCACTGGACGGCCTCTGAGACAGCGGGGAGACGAGTTGCGGTGAACAAACACACGCTCACACTTCAGTCGGCTCTGGCTGAGCTGTTCTCCAAACTCCACGATGAGGTTTAAAGGTTAACAACAGCACGTCTGAACCACCGATTGGAGCCGACCACAGAAAACCTGCTCGCCTGTTATTGTGTCCAGTCCTTCAGGGAATGACCTGATCATTTACCGTCCTGCAGCCGAGACAACAACGAACTTGTTCTGGAAAATGTTCTTCCACAATGTTGTTGCTGCTGGTTGAGGTGAGATTAAAGCTCCTCCCTTTTCCATCAAATAACATGGATCCAATCGGAGCAGGCAGGTAGCATCAGACTCCGCCTCCTGCAGCGTCACAGGTGAAATGGATTCAGAAGAGACTCGGACATCTCGGAGAGTTTCGCATTAGATTCACCCTGCAAGTACTTTTACCTTTAATACTTTAAGTAGCAAAGCAAACACAAGTGCAAGTACTTACTTTTACTCAGGCAGAGAACTTCACGTGGTACTTTTTTACTTTTTACATTTTTTATTGGATGAATGGACGGATGGACAGATGGACGGATGGATGGATGGACAGATGGATCATTCATCACAAACGTTAGGCAGCCAGAACAAGATCAAACCATTAATTGTTCCAACAGAAAACTTGGGCATCGAACCAAGAAAAAAAGCCTGAGGCTGCTGGAGAAAAACCAAAATGATTAATCTGACCTTTCAAAGGAAAATAAGTGAAACAGCTTTGACAGAACGAGGCTCAGCGCTCGGTGGTTCTCTGCCAGTCGCTGCTCTGCGGGTTGCAGAGAAGCTGGTTTCAGCTGCAG